TTTTAAGGGGTCATATGATGTTGCTAAAAAGAACATTATTTTGTGTATTTGGTGTAATGAAATGTGTTTATGCGGTTTAAGGTTCAAAAAACACATTATTTTCCACATACTGTACATTATTGTTTCTCCTCTATGCCCCGTCTTTCTGAAACGCGTTGATTTTTACAAAGCTCATCGGTCTGAAAAAGCGAGGTGTGCTCTGATTGGCCAGCTATCCAGTGCGTTGTGATTGGCCGAATTCCTCAAGCGTGTGATGGAAATGTTACGTCCCTTACCATATTGTGATGCATGTGGGCAACCCCATGTGACGACCCGGGCTGGACTCCGCTTCGTCCACGGTGAAAGCCGATTCGGCGATTCACAGCGCGAAGTTGATGTATTTCCTCAGCGACCAGCACGGATCAGCTCCAGGCATGACGAAGCGGATATCGATATCCAAACAAAGTAGTTCCGCTTTCACTACGAAACACACAGCGCCTTCACGATATGGCGGCGGCGGCAACAACAATACTACAGCGAGAATAAAAGCTACGCCTTCTTTCTTTGCGTGAACATTTGGGCGGCGTTATGCAAATCTTCCCACACAGTGAGGTAGACATGTGGGGGCGTGTTAGAACGAGCCGTTTTAGGTAGGCGTGGCTGACTCTTAACTTTTATAAAGAATATCTCTTTGGATTTGAGACTTTAGTCTTTGCAACTTTACAGATCTTCTTTATGCGCCAAGAGCTTGTAACACTCCAAAGAGAAAGGCAAAATTGAAATCGCATCATATGACCCCTTTAATTGCAGTTCAAAAACGTTCTGTAATATCGTCTGTATAACTAACACATAGTGCAGTTATATTTTTCTCATGTCAGATGTAATGTAGGTAAAGCATGAAGTATTTGGCATAAAATCAATAAAAACTGAATTACAGAAAATGTTCAGATTAATCAAACCATATTAATTGTCATTTGTAATGCTGATGCTAATAGCTTGCATATTACATCTAGTTCCTGTAGCATTTGGCTGTCAGCCAGCGGGACATATCCACAGTGTCACAGCATGTGTGAAATATTGTGTGTGTGAACATGAATCTGGACCTCCAGGAGATTTGACAGGCCAGCTGAGTGACAAACAGCCCTGACAGACAGACAGGGTGCTGAACAACACTCATAGAGACACGCATCATTAAGGACCAGCAGTTTTTGCAAGTCAGAGATGGGCAGCAGCATACATCATTTCAGTATTCATGAAATCAACTTTCATAATATATATGCTTCTGGTCTTGTAGCGAATAATAGGTCAGAACACACAATTTTTTCTCACCGAATATCCTGTTTCACTTGTAAATACTATATGTCAAATGAGGCTTGAGTGTTTCATGTTGACTTTAAGAGTGGGAAAGTCAGTAGGACAGACAAACCTCTAGCTCTGTCTGATAACTGGCCCATGTTCTGTCAGAGAGAAATAGAGGAAGAGATTGGCTGTGGAAAGAGAGAAATCAGAGGGAGATAGGGGACCAATAAGGTATCTTGGGAGAAAAAGGGCGAGCTGAGGACATGCAGTTAATGAAGGTGTACTGCAGTACAAATGTGCAGAACTTGAGAGACAGAGCAAACAGATGAAGCAAAACACTCTGTTTTGCCACAAGAATGAATCCCTCAAAACCATGCCCAAGTCACATTTTACCTCAAAATCTAAAGAAAACAAAAAGAACTTGTATTCTGCTTGGAGAAAATAAGGATTGTTCCATTTTGGCATTAATTTCAAGTTTTTCATACAAATTCTTCATCTTCATAATAAGAATTAGACTATTACATTTTTTAATAAATATATAGAAGTATTTGTATAT